CAAAACCGGATTTTCCCAAAAACCGTAGATTTTGGTCAGCAAACCGTTGACCTGGGCGATTAACTATTTGAACGGTTTTGACCATTTTTTATTTTTTTGTCAGAATGGGCCGACTGTTCGGTTCGAACGATCAGGCCGCTCGACCCGAGAACCGGACCCTTGACCAGTTTGTTTTGCAGGCCGGTTTTAAAAACCTTGGTTTGTGGTTATTTGACCTTAAATTTAATATTATTAATGTATTTATGAATTTTTTCGTCTATATCCATGCATTTCCAAAGCATATCCATATCAGTGGATGCGGGAATTATATCAAACAACTTGGATACACAAGATTTCGAATAGCTTGGTGGCTTAAAAGCAAGTTGGATACGTGTGGCAACGTGGTGTATTGTTGCGTTAAGTATTGTTATGGTTATTAGCTCAAGTTCGAATCACTGCAAAGTTTATTTTTTATAATAGAAAGGCATGCGTATACGCATTTATGTCTCACATGTGGCAACATAGTGTATTGTTATATATCGGTCTGTATCGATATTTATCGATTGATACAATATGACGGATCGATACACATCCATATCGACCCAATACACACGACTAGCAAGATGCACTTCTAGTCATAGTGTATCCCATGCCAGATGATACCGATACAATGCATCCTATATCAGGTGTATCAATATTTCAATCCTTGGATAAATTATCAATTTTATTATCACAAACCAGAGAGAGAGAGAGAGAGAGAGAGAGCACCCATTAGATCTACTACTAGTTTCTAGTGTCATCACCATTTTTAGTGGTTTGCCACTCGATCAACAACTCCCCTCTTTCACTCATTTTTCTTACTCCGCATGGACGACACTTTTCTAATGTGGCATTTTATACAATTGAGCAGCTCTAGCCATGCATTCAATGGTCACAAATACATAATTTAAATTAACCATTATATCAACTGGTTGATAAATGAGTGTCCACTCCAAAGAAAAAAAAGAGTGCATGTTTTATAATGTGTTAATTTAAAAATATATTTGATAAAGAAAAATAATTTGCATAGCTTAGATATTAAGGTAAATAAATTGCATGTTTGAATAAAGGGAACATCTATGATGCAGAAAAGATATGGTATGGGAAGAGTTTTGACCAATCAAAACCCACTCATGAATTTTAATGAATAACACTTGATTGGCTACCCAATTGATTGGTCAAAATATTTTCAGATATCATATATTTTCCATATCATAGTTGAACCCTTGAATAGATAGAGAGAATTGTATCTACATGTTGATTTTTAAATAGATATATAATTTATGAAAAGTTAAAAAGTAAACTTTATAAATATGTTCTTGCATTTTATACAATATATTTCTTATATATTTATACTTTATTTATAGTCATTTGAGACTTGGGTTATGTTATCCAGGTATTTGCACGAGTTTCCTTGACATATCCATATGTTACATGTATCCTAATCATTCTACCAAATCCCGACATTTACCGAGTGTAGACGAATTTGCATTTCAAACACTCTTATTGGGCGCTCTATCTCTCTCTCTCTCCTTTTTCCAAAGTGTATCCCAGTGTCAATTGATGTGCTAGGTGCTACCAACAACTATAATTGCCCTCTCTACTAGAACAATCACATGGCCCAAAAAAGTTTAGTCCCCACTAGAGGTCAGGTCCCTTCTCTTTCACTCTCTCTCATATTAATAAAAGGCCTCCTACTCTCCATTTTGTGTAAAAGAAGTGGTGACATTGATAAGGTGTCTGTGGATCAATCTAGGCCTTATTTTTTTATAGGGTAGTGGGTCCCATTTATTTATTTATTCATATTGTCATGAAAAGAAATCAATGGTCTTTAAACTTTATAACATTGCAAGTGTTAATGTATACACACATTAGTAAGAAGAAGGAAGATGAAGTGTCTATAGTTTCTAATTTAATAATATTCTTTTAGACTAAGCTTTTTATCCTAAACCTCAATCCCAGTAGAAATTGATAGTTTCCTCTCTTTGATAGAAAATAGTTTTCATATCATTTGCATTGAGCTTTTTAAACTGAGCTTAAAGCTCAGTATGGAAGTACAAATACAAATTTATATTGTGTAAATACATACAAAATAATATAAAATACAAAGTTCTGCACTCTATAAATTTGTGTTTGTATTCCTTCCAAACTGAGCCTAAGACTCAATTGAAAAGAGTGCAAATTCAAATATGTTATATATGGTATTCCTAAACCTTGTATTTGCATTGTACATATTTATATTTACACTTATCCCAAACAATAACTAAAGTAAAAAGCAATATAGAGCTAGGGTTGAACATCAATTTCTACAAATGGAAAAATTGCTATAAAGAAACCAATGCTTCAGAGTTTTGATATTATTCATGTTTGAACATAGGTTGCAATTAGTTACTCTCACCCTAAGGATTGGTATTTCAAGATCTATTGCATAAGGGAATTTTCGACACCTAAGAAATATCTTTTCTCATTTCATGGGGAGGGTTTTTCTTGTTATTGCACATTTTCGTTTGTATTTTAGAGAAGATTTTCCGACAAGGGATGTCTATGCCTGTTTTTGAAATGCAGGGGAAGTTTCAACTGATTTCAAATGCCTTAAATATTAAAATTTTATCATTGTAACCAAAGGTATTCTGTTGTTTTGTTTGGGAAAGTGATTCAACTTGAATCCGAAAACCACAAAGGCTATATAAGCCTTCAATTCCATAGTTGCACATTTAACCCCCAAGGGAGATTGGTCATTTCAATTCAACAATATTGAGGCGTGAGTGGAATTCAATCTCATTTCCATCACCTTGATCCGAACACTGCTTATTACAATTTACACATAAAACTTTAAGGCTGTGTTTGATTTGAAGGAAAAAATCAGAAAAGGAAAAAAAAATAGGAAAACTTATACAAGGTTTAGAGCAATCTGAGTATTACTAATATATCCTTTTAACTAATGATGTGCTCCATTATAAAAAAAGAAAAAGAAAATGAAAAGTGTCCAAATCACCTCTTTACATGCAAATGCCATAATCTTTTACAGGGCATCAAGCCCAATTCCATTATTTGTCTACAACCAGATTATTGGCCTTGGCAGGGTATCAGAATCCCAATAACCTTGATTCATGGGATTTTGTGGGGCTGAATCTTAGAATGTGAATTCCAAAATCCAGTTTGATTTTAGAATTCCATCAGATGATGAAAGATTGGCTTAGTGGGAAAAGGAAAAGGAAAAGAAAAAAACTTTTGGCACAACATTTTATAGAATTCCTAATACATTCAAAGTTCAAAAATAGGTTCAAGCCCCAAGGAATATTTACTGCACCAAGTGGAGTTACTGGGTTTTTCTTGATTCAAGGAAAAGTGGGTGGAAATAGAGACAAATGGATGCAAACAATGGAAATGCCCAAGATTAAACAATGGAGGTTTCTTCTATAGACAGACTGTCTATCTGTCTGCTACCTGATGGAGAGATGATGGCCCATTTTGATAGAGAAATCCTTCAAACTGGTCAGTTCTTCATTCCATGGCCCCATGGTGCTCTATATCCCACCACTGATTCTGGCTTCCCCAAGTGATGTTAATGGTTCAAAGCTTCAACTTTTTTAACTAAAAAGATGTCTCATAAAAAGGACTTACTTTTAACACGTGGGAAGAGTTTCAGCTCTGCAACTTGTCCCATGAATGGGAGGGTGGATAGGGGAACACATGGGCCTTCTAGTCCCCACCAACCATGTTGCCTCCTGAGAGATTCCTGAGTAGCTTTGATTTCTTCTTTAAAAAGACTTACCAGCAATTAGTTAATTCGGGCCCAAAGCTTTATTGAAGTCTACAAAAACTGGTACCACACACACTTGCTTTGACACTTATTTTCTCCTAACCTTTAATCCTCTGCTTAACCCAAAAATGGAAATTTGTTCCTCATACCCATTGGCACCACTCCACTGGGTGAGTTTATACCACTGGGCCATAGGCTGAGAATTTGACTAAATTACAGGCCCAATGAATGTAGTCTGGGGTCTTCAAGATTTGGCACCTACCACTACCATTACCCGCCCGCCCCATGTTCTTAGCTTCTTGGCCCACCTTAGGACTTAGGAGGGTCCTACCAATACCAAGAATGCCCAGATTAGATTGTTGGCATACCTAATTGTGGGTCCCAATTCTGCTCAATCTCTACATGGGTTATCAACCAAATAAACCAGGTAAATTCCGGCTGGATCATTGATCAGCCGAGATCGATTTCTATCAGGGCAAATCTGTCACTTTGAAAATATAAATACGGAGATATTCTCAATACATAACAATAAAACTGCTCGAATTGGCTTTGCCCTGATGGAAGCCGAACTCTAATCAGCCCAGGCCCCATTAACGAACCTGAGCCCACAAGTAAGTAGTTTTATGTAATTATGAGCCTATGGCCCACCTGCTTGATGATGCCGCATCCCATGTGATTAGGGCTGTCAACGATAAAAATACTTACCTGATTGGATTATCCTGAATTTCGATGTTAGAAATTTGCATTTCATTAATAGATTGGATTAAAATTTAAGTTTTATAAAAGTTAATTTTATAAAATTATTATTAATAGATTGAAATTTGCATTTCATTATTATATATAATTTTATAAAAGTTACAACCGATAAATTTAATATTTAATATATATATATAATTTAAAAATAATTAATTTTTTAAAACTTTTTTGAAATTTATTTAGTTAATTTAAATATAAATAAGACGATTATAGATTAAATTCAAATCTGATGTCACTCCTACACGTGAATGAATTTTGATTGTGGCCTTGTGGGCCATATGTTGGTTCATAATCATTCAATCTCTCGCTTACATTTATGGCTGGTGTGAAATAAAATGATTGGTCCACCGTTAATGAATTAACTACGATAAAAAGGGTGAAAAAAGGAAAAAAAAAAGAGAAGGATTTACAAATTCTCCGCTGAGTCGCTGACTGCTGGTACTCAGGTTCAGAGGTTCTTGTATGTATCTGTCCAGAGTCTCTGCAATGCCACTCGGACGAAAGTGGAGTAATTCATTCTAGTTCTAGATTTAAGATTTCTGATTTTCCGTTGACCGTGGGAACTGGATCAAATAGAATTTATTTTTTTTTAAATCTAAAATTTAAGTCAAATCCGACCGTCCATCATAAAATCTTTGGTTTCTCCATCTTCCTCCGCGCTACATTTTATCTCTCTTACTTTAGTTTGAAACTTTGAATCCCTTATCGATAAATGTCCCCTGTAAATCTGGATCAGGTTCCGTCAATTAGGGCGCGCTATGTTCTGTTTTATTTTTCATGCGTAACTAGTTTTCCTCTCTGCAAGCAATGGTTTGATTTTAGCCTTGCTTTTCTTTTTTGTTGGTTTCTGTTGGTGTCGCGTGCCGGGTATTTTCTCTTGATGGGTTTTCTAGGAACCTAGTTCTTGAGTTGGGTGTTATTTTGATTTTTTTTCTTTTTCTGGGTTTTTTGAAGTTAGGGTTCTGGTGATGGGAATTGGTGTATTAGAGGTGCATTTTGAGTAGAATTTGAAGATTGGGGGGGGGAGGTATGGGATCGGGTAGTAGTAAAGATGCTGCAACGTCGGCGTTGCCGTCGTCGTCAATGACTGTTCAGAGGACGAGATCAAAGGGAGCTAGGGTTTTCCAGTCTTCGTGTCTCGGCCGATCGTTTGGATCTTACGACTGTGACAATGACCAAGTGGTGAGTGAGTGTTTCAGTTCTTTTATTCTTTTTCTATTTTCGTTTCTACTTCGTTGTAGTTTCTTTGAAGCTGAGTCATGGATCTTGTTTCTATCATAACTTACGTTTTGCTGAGAATCTTGTTTGTTTGTGGAAATTTTTATGGAAATGCAACTTTTCTGGAGGTGTTAGATGAAATGTGCAGCATCCTTCAGTTATTTTTTCGTTGGACTTTTTCATTTTTAGATGGACAACCATTTCTCTGTAGCGTTTATGTTTTCTTGTTTTTTGTTTCTTTCCAAGTTTCAAACAGAAGCCAGACCTGGATTCTGAGATCGAAGTTAAAATTACTTGGTGTGTATTTCAAAGAACGAAAAGATTTGGAATATCTACTGAAAATGGTGTTCTGCTATCATAACGTATCTTCACTTTTCGTTTTCTTACATGTTCCTATTACACTGATGTCAGTGATTTTGGTGGATTTTTTTATACGTTTAGCATGAATTTTTGCATCTAAATAGCTGAATTTAGCTCATGCTTTTAGAGCTCTGATGATCGGAACAAAGACCATGGGAGTTTGAGCAATGGGCCAAGTATAGTCCAAACTGGAACGGAGTCCAATCGGGGGCGTGATTGCTCTGGGAAGGTGAAGGCTCAACGGCAAGCATCTAATGAGGTGCCCTGTATTTCCTCTGATAATGAACTTGATGAATGGGGTCAAGAGAGTACCTCTAGATCTGTTAACGGCTCTAACCGAGTTGCCTCAAGTCGATCCTTGAACCTTTCAAATCGCATCTGGTCTCGCTTTCGCTTCATTCCTGGCAATATAAGCTTCAGGTTAAACAGAACAGCCAGCTTGGGGTCGTCAAGCTCTTATCCTCTTTACTCCACAAGTCTCAGAATTGCAAACAGTGAAGAAGGATTTCATGTACATACTGGTCCAACCAATAATTCAGTTAACAGAAATGAAATTTATGAAGGGGGTCACTTGCTTCCTGCATGCAATGCTGATAGACCACCTGCAGCACGGCATGAAGACTCTGGTGCTATACAGTTAAACTCTTCGGCTTCTGGTTCAATTTGTTTGCAGGATGATGACATTATTTCCGCCCGGGATGTGGTTGAGAATAATGAGAATACAAGAACTGGGGTTGGTGTCAATGGGCGTTCTCTGAGGAACCGTGCAGAGATAGAGGGCACTGAAACAAGACAGACTGACAGACGAATTGGGGATCGAGAACCAGTTGAAAGGAGTGTCCGGTTTAGCCGAGCACTAAGTGTTGGCAGGCTTCGTGACAGGGTTCTTCGCAGATCCTCATTCTCTGATGGATTGTTTGGTCATTTGCAAGAAGACAGAGGAGTGCGAGATTCTAGTCAGGGGAGTGGGAGACAGGTCTGGAATGGTGTGACTAGAACATCAGCCTCCGAAGGGAATTCTGAAACATCCACAACTTCATCCAATTATCCACTTCCCAATACATCAAGCTCCATTGTAACCATAAATAATGAGGTGGAGCCCTCACGACCAAGAGACACCAGATATCATGATATTTTGGAGCATAGAACAGATTTCCTTGAGAGGAGAAGAAGAATAAGATCACAGGTTTGTAAACTTATTTGCAGTTAGCAAACGCAAATTATGTCTTTCCTAGGCCATACTAATGGTTGCCCAATGGTTGTCAGTGCATATGGTGTACATTCTGAGACTGGATGTCACCATTTGACTGGTCCACCTAGGACATCTCTTAACCAAAAACTGTCTAATCTATCTATTTCCTTTTTAGTAGTCTTTGAAAAACATAGCAAAATCAATAGATTGTGTTCTTAAAGATGACCTAGTTAGATTTATTTTGTCCTAGGAGATCTTTGAAGCCTGCCAAGTTCAAATTTTATGATTTACCCAATTCATGCAATGCAAATAAATTGACTATGACTTGGTTCTGTACTATTTATTTTTTTTATTTTTTTTTTTGTAAATGGGTTTTGTTTTAAAATCCTTGCTGGAGTAAGATTTACCAGGGTTGTTTATAACCTAATGAAATACTTTTTTGAGTTTATTTTCATTTTATTAAGTTAGTGAACATTTTCTGTGGGTTATTTGACATTGACATTAAGGTTGCATTTGGTAAGAGTACAAATGCAAATATTTACGGTTCATGAAAATGCAAAGTTTGGTTTAGTTTTGCATTGATAACTTTTGTATTCTTGCGAAAGGTATCCGGTTTTGATGGGTACAGACGTGAATTTGAAGACTGAAATCTACCTTTTTTACATTGACCAACTTTGAGTGCAAAATTTGCTTTTATTTTTTTTAGAAGCAAACCAGCAGGAACCCATACGATGCATAGCCTTTGTTAAGCAAAAGAAAAACAATAGAAATACATAAGAGTAGACGTTTTTTTTTTTTTAATGGGTATAAACATGAATTCGAAGACTGAAATCTACCTTTTTAACATTGACCAACCTTGAGTGCAAAGTTTGCTTCCACTTTTTAGAAGCAGAATTTTCTCCCATTTTAAGTGTAAACATGTCAGAAAAAACAAATATGCTGTCATTTTCAATACAAAAACGTATTCTTACCAAATGCCTGCAAAATTAAACTGGAGAGCAAATACACTTCAATTCAACATTTGCACTCTTACCAAATGCAGTCTAAGGCTCTGCTTATTTTCAGTGCAAATCTGAACCAGATGCAAATTTTGCAGCTAGTTCAGTTTTGCACTCCTACCTGATACAAAATTTGTACTGTTTGTCTCATTTACACTTATTTGTAGTGCAAAGCATCTCAGAAACTGATTCAAAATTTGCACTACCTTTACATGGTTTTCAGCATAATTGTCATGTTCTGAATAGGCCATATATACACCTATATTGTTGTTGCCCCATCCTAATGGCAGAGTTTCCTCTTGTGCATTTCTTTGCTTGTTGATCTAACACATTTAAGAGAATGATTTGTATTTCCCTGAAGTACAGGTCCGTGCACTTCAACGGTTAGGTAGTCGCTTTGAAAATTTATCTGGACATGAGAGGTCATGTATTTTGGCTGGTCAACATCGAACAGGTCGTTGTTCGTGCAGAACAAATGGCCGGACAACCAATCCAGATGATGACAACAGTGCCAGAGCTAGCATCTCAAGAATTGTTATGTTAGCAGAAGCATTATTTGAGGTAATGTTATTTTTTCTTTGTTGGTAGGAATTCTTTTACTCCTTTTTCTTATTAGATATGAGTTCATACTTCTGTAACTATTTTAATTAGGTTCTGGATGAAATTCACCAGCAATCTGTAGTCTTGTCCTCCCGACCTTCTGTATCTTCAATTGGATCTGTTCCTGCGCCAAAGGAAGTTGTGGAATCCATACCTGTTAAGATATACATGAAGTCACAAAAACATTTGAATGAAGAGGCTGCACAGTAAGTATGTGTGTGTGTGTATTGTTTTGCATGTAATTTACTATATTTCACAGAGTATGTATTAATTGATATATCATTTACTGAAAGCAGGGAATTATGACTGCTTGGAGAGATTATTGTTGTATTTTCCCTCAGTTTTGCCAAAATACCAAGCTTGTGTATGTGTGTGTGTGTCCCTCACCTTCAAACCTAAGACCTAATAGCGCATTGTCAAAAAAACAAATTATACTGCCATGAAATCATGAATCTACTAGGATCAATTTTAAATGTATTATCTCATTATTTGTATTTTAATTTTATTATTCTTGATCTGTAGGCTTCATGTTAGAGATTTAAACAAGTAGAATATACTTCAAGGTTATTTTCTGTACTTTATTAGGGTGTATTTGATCCATGGCTGCATTCACATTTCATCTGGTTCTAGAACATGCCATGAGTGAAATAACTGTTTGGCAGAAATGCGTGGTTCCATAACCAGCAAAATGGGCATTTATTGAACAACTTTTCATAGCTTTCTCAACCACACAATGTGGCTCACTGATGCAAGCATGACATGGCAGTTATATGGTGCGTCTCACACACCAATATAGCTCCACATGATCGAAGGTAAATAGTGAAGATTCAGAAAATGAACCATCAATAGAACAACCTCTTTTGTATTGTCTTGTTAAAAAATATGCATTGTCATTTTCTAAACAAATTAGCACATTTTTTTAGCCATATGATATCACCATTTACTTGGTTCCATGAACTGAATACCTCCACTTTAATTAGTTATACATGTTACTAATCCAAAGGCTCCACCAATGTGAGCTTGTCTTACACCACTGGTCCCAAGCCCAGATAAAGGAGGAAGGTTGCATTAGGTTGGCAGCTGGCACCAAAACTTCTGCCAAACTATCATGGTCATGGGTCCTGATTTGTCTATATGTGTTCATTCTAGGGCATTCCCCAGAGGTGACGTACTACATCTTAACCCAAGTGTCAAGTGGACAATGGTATGCTAGGATGGTCTCCAAGAGCAATCCACCACAGGAGCACCCAGTTGTGTTAAATAGGCAAGGGCTCCCACATCCTTTTGGACAGGGGTGAGTAAAGAAGTTAGTCCAAGAAATATGACTTAATAAGAAATAAGAAATGATGTAAATGCCCATAATTCAACAATGGATATAGCACTGGGTAGTATGGAATAGGGGTGCAACTTGGGTGGGCCTGGATTGGGCTTTTGTCAAAATTTGAATGGGCTTGACCCAAATGCCCAAACCCTGAAGCAGTGTAAAAATGCTAACTTAGGCCAACCTGAGTTGCACCCTAGAACAGAATGGTGAAACATAATTCATGTAGCCAATCCCATATAGATGGAACAAGGCTTAGATGATGATGGTGATATTACTGATCCAAAACATAGTTGTACATATCATAACTGTAAGTCATTCTAAAAGGATTCTTTACAACTCCTACTAGCCTATTCCCCCTTCTTTCCTTCTTTTGTGCAACTAATGTTGCTAGACCTTGAATGGAGCCATGGCGGCTTCATGGCCATGCATTTTAATTCCTTTGATATGCATGTGCATTTTCTCAACATTACATAGATCCACCATATGAATTTTTGGATCTCTGTGACACAGGAATGCAATAGAATGTGGTCATACCCCCCCTCTCTCTTAAAGCTTATTTTCTCTTTAGAAGTTAGGAATATTTTCTAGTTCAGATTAGAATTGCATGAATAAAAAGCACAAAACACCAAGCCTGATGAACACATGAACAAAGTCTTTAAATAACCCAAAAATACTAATATGGTGGTCAAATATAAGTAAAGATCTAGTGAAGGGTAGTGGTTGATTATAATACATGAGTCATGATTATCAATTTTCATAAAAAACCTCAAAATCCAGTTGACAAATTGGATGATGGATCTTTTCGCAATTGGATAATTCTTGATAGCTACAAGACAATTACCCATATTGGTGATTGTAGTCTAGTTATGATAAGAGAAGACTTGGTTTTGAAATATTGGTAAGAAGCTTGGTTGTTCTTTGAGGGATGAAAATTGGACAAGTGTAGTTAGGATGGATCTAGGATGGGTGTTCATGATAAGTTTTGAAGCCATGTGGTTAGGAGGTTCTGAGGTAGGGTTTAATTGGTGGAGACGTCATGATCTGATGGTGCTATTGGTGTTATTGTGCACCATTGTATGAGAAAGGGGTTGGGATAGTGCAAAATTGTATTACTCTGCTTTTTTTGTTTTTTATATGAGGGTATGGTTGTTGTATGGGTATCTTTGGGGCTATCTTTGCTTCCTGTTTTCTGGTGATATCTTGCCATCTGTCCTTTGTATTTCCTACGGGTGTTTTGTGTTCATGGGTCAGGTTGGTTCAATTGCAGGCTGTTTGGCCAACCGAACTGACCTGGTCAGGTTGGGGAATTGGCCAACCCAAAACCAACCACTTGGATCGTATTTTTTTGGGTCAGTTTATCGGTTTGGTCAGTTAAAAAAATAGCCTAGAACTAATTTGTTAAACTAGGAAACATGCTTTGATTGGATAAAAAATTTAAAACAATAAAGTTAATTAATAATTGCAATGGTATTATTAGAAAATTATATTTTAAAAAATTTAAATATAAAATATAAAATATAAAATATTTCAAAACCAAGAAATAAGGGAATTTTCCCACTTTCTCATATTAAAAGTTTAAATTTAAAATATAAAATATTAATATATCTATAGAAGGGCCGTGTTGGGTTGGTTCTGGTCGGTTTCCACATGATTAAACCGAAACTGATCCAACCTCTAGGCCAAAGCAAACCGGAAAATAGTTGAAAACCGACCAACTCAGATCGAGTTAGGTCGGGTTGGTCGGTTTTATGCATGGTTCCAAATGTCGCTAATGTCACCCGACATATGTCGATGTCGAAGCTCACCGGCATGAAAGTGGATGGTAATATAAAAATTACATTATGTCGGTCGACATTTCCTATATTTCGGAAATGTCGACCAAATTAGTCCAAATAACCAAAAAAATACAGTTTTTCCTATTATGTCGACAGGATGTCGACTAATGTACATTAAAAATATAATATATTAGTATATTATATTAATATAATGCAGTATATTAATATAGATTATTCCATTAATAATTTCTATTTAA